TAGGCTTACTCCCAAGTATTTCAGTTCGTATTTGCCTACCATAAACGGTATTTCTCGGTTTCCTTCTCTGAGTTATTTTTGTCATTGTAGAGGATCCCACTGATTTTTGGATATTGATCTTATATCCTGCCACTCTACTAAATCGACCTACAGTTCTAACAAATTTTTTGTTGAGTCTTTGGAGTTAGTGATAGTTTAAACATCTCTTTGCAGATCTGGATGACTTTTATTTCATTCTCTTGTCATATTGCCCTAGAAAGCACTTCCAATACACTACTGAGTAGAAGTGGTGACAGTGGGCATCCTTGTCTGGTCCCTGTTTGCAAGGAAAATCTTTAGTTTTTCTCCATTGAGAATGATGGTGGCTATTGGTTTTGCCTATATACTTTTCACTATGTTGAGGAAATTCCCTTCTATTCCAATTTTGCTGAGTGTCTTTATAAAGAAGGGGGGTTGGATTTTGTCAGATGCCTTTTCTGCATCAATTGCTAAGATCATATATTTCTTCTTATTAATTCACCAATACTCCCGAATTATTGAATCATTCCATCAGTTCTATAATTATAGAGAATTATAATGGTTGTGTTCTGTATTTTGCAATTTTGATAGAATTGAATCTGAATAACATAACTGATTTAGAACTTAAAACCAAAGGACCAATATTTAGGCAAAGATATCAGTATTTCCTAGAAGAAAGAATATATTTACCTTCCATCACTGGAATGTTTTCTTAGAGTATCTAACTGATTTAAATAGAATTTAAAACTCACCTTCAAAAGTAAATTAAAATGGTAAAGTAAGGGCAGAAAAAGAGGAAGTGGAGAAATCTCTAGGATATCAGAGACTAAGGGGTGGATTGAGAAGATGAAAGAATAGGAAAAATGCTTTGGGGACCTCAAAAGATGGAATTAAAATAGGCATAAAGTTATTCCTGTTAAATATGTAAAATATGTTGTAACAGATTTTATAAAACACAATGTACATGAATAAAGCACAATGTAAATAAAAGATTGTATAAACACAATGCACATGAAACAAACCAATATATACGAATGACTGTATGCAAACCAAGAAAATAAGTAAAAAACAAAAACAACAACAACCAGAAGCCAACAAAAGGAAATTAAACTGGTAAAAGTATGATAAATTTCATTCTAAGAATTATGGGCACTTAATAGAATACTAATACTCTTTTAAAAAAGAAAAGAAATGCTATCTAGACATTTCCTCTCTTGAGAAAAAAGGATTTTTTTCAGATTCTGTGTAAAGAAAACCATGACCTGAGGTGAGAATCTGGTCTTCTCACCCGTTATACAGCCGTAGATTTCAAATTTTTCTTTTTCAGGTTTTCAGTGCCAGCATAAGTGGCTCAACTCAATTGTTACTGTTGTTAGCACCTGCCAAGTTGAGTAGGACTCATAACAACCCTATAAAAAACAGATCTGATCCCAGTCTTGAGCTGTGTCATCCTCATCATCTCTGACATACTTGAGCCCATTGCTGCAATCACTGTTTCAATTCATTTTGTTGAGGGTTTTCCTTTCTTTCAAGAATCTTCCGCTTTTTCTAGCATGATGTCTCTTTATAAAGAATGATTATTCCCTTCTAGAAACATACCCCATGTATCCTGGCTTTACCTTCTTTTAGACACATCTATTTATTCTTTTGGTGATGTTCAGTACTCTTCTCTAACATCAATTTTTCTTCTGTCATCTTTATTCACTGTCTAGCTTTCAGAAACATAGCAAGTGATTGAAAAGACCATGATCTGAAGGAGGTTTACCTTGGTCTTCACACTGACATCACATCTCTTTTGTTCTTTAGAACTGAGGTTTATGACAAGCGACTTTCCTAATGCAACTTATTGTGTATTCGAGTAAAATGAAATTGTTGACAATTTCAATCTTTTCTCCCTCTATCACAACATACCTGAACACTTGTATAACTTTCATTGTTGTTCTTGCTTCTAAGCTTGTTTTAATCTGGAAGCTCCACCAAACACTGTCCAGCATGGGTAACCATTATCAAGTTTGACATATCAGTGTCACAGTATTTAGCATCACAGAAACCACGAGTACCTCTGTTCAGCAAATGTACAGATCAGTGCTATATCACTTAGAAGAATGTTTGATCAATAAAATTAAAGCCAGGCCTGAGGGCCACAGATTAAAATTACTCACCTTCGACTTGGTAGCATAATTTTCTACCCACTAGGCCAACAGAGGTCTCTCGTTGTTGTTGTTGCTGCTGTTGTTGTTGTCATTATTGTTGTTAAGTGCTGTTGAGCCATAGACACTGATGTGTCAAATGCAATAAAGGTTACCCATGGTGGACAGTGTTTGGTGGAGCTTCCCAATTAAAACAAGCTTGCAAGCAGATGTGGCATCAACTTCCTAAATAGGTTGCTTATGGAATCTCTATGAAAGTGGAGAAATGATTAAAGTTATACAAGTGTTCAGGTCTTTCATTCATAGGGTTGCTATGAGTTGTCTATGGCTCCATGGCTCTCTTAACAGCAACAACCATGACATGGCCAATTGAGTTCCAGTCTCTCACAACCTCACCAGTTATTTGTTGTTTCTTGCTCTGCTAAACTTTGCTATTGTTAGGAGGATATCATAATTGGTTTGATTTTTATCTCTCTGATAGCTAGGGATTTTGAACGTTTTTCCACGTGTTTGCTTGCCATCTGAATATCTCCTTTGGTGAATTGTCTATTCATATTCAGTGCCCATTTTGCAAACGGATTATTTACCTTTTTTCTTGTTGAGGTGCTAGAGTATTTTATAAAATTTAGGTATGAGTCTCTAATAAAATATGTCATTGCTAAATATTTTTCCCAGTCTGAGCGGTTTCTCTGTTGGAGAAGGATTTTTGGTTTGTTTGTTTGTTTGTTTATTTATTTATTTATTTGTTTGTTTGTTTATTTATCTATCTATCTATCTATCTATTTATTTTTGGAAAAGGATTTTTTTTAATGTACTTAGGGTTTTCATTCTTAGACAATCCTTTTTGTTCTCTTCTGGTTGTAAGTTTTTCATTATGATTCGTAGACTGTTCGTGCTGTAGATTAGGGCTTCTACAGTTATTCCTAGCTTTTCTCTGATGAAGGTTATAGTCTTTGGTTTTACTCCTGGACACTCGATCCACCTTGAGTTGATTTTGTGTTTGGTGTGAGATGTGTCTTGTTTGAGCTTTTTACAGATAGTTTTCCAACACCAGTTGTTAAAAGAGATTGTAATTTCCCTACTTAACTGATTTCATCTTCTTGGCAAAATTCAGTTGGCCATTGATAGATGACCTGATTTCTAGATACTCAATTTTATTCCATTGATCTATGTGTCTATCATTGTACCAGTACCGTGCTGTCTTGACCACCATGGCTGTAGGATTTGATATCTGGGAGTGAGATACCTCCTACCTCGTTTCTGTTTTTCAGGAGTGCCTTATTTGGTGAAGTGTCTTTCCATTCCAGATATAATTGGAAATTTCCTTTTCCATCTTATTGAATAATGGAATTAGTATCTCTATTGAGATTGCATTGAATTTGTAGATTTTATTTGGTAGAATGATAATTTTCATGATATTGAGTCTTTTTATCCATGAACATGGTATATTCTTACATTTCTCTAGATCTCTATTTGTTTCTTGAAATGTTGTTGTTTGTTGTTATGTGCTGTCGAATCGCTTGTGACTCACAGCAACCCTATGTACAACAGCCCTAAACTCTGTTATGTCCTGTGCCAATCGCACTGCCTCCGACACAACGATCCCAATTACACCAGTCACTGAATCAATTCACCTCATAGAGGGTCTTCCCCTCTTGAGCCATCCCTTCACCCTCCCAAGCATGATGTCCCTCTCCAAGGACCTCTCTCTCTTTACAGTATGTCCAAAGTATGTCAGACGAAGCCCCAGAATCCTTGCCTCCAAGGAGCAGCCTGGTTTAACCCTCTCCAGGATAAATCTGTTTGTTTTCCCAGAAGTCCATGGTACATTCAATACTCTTCTCCAGCACCACAGCTCAAAGGCATCAATTCTCCTTTTATCCTCCCTAGTCATTGTCCAACTCTCTGATGCATAACAAGTGATTGCAAACACCATAGCCTGTATCAGGCACACCTTAGTGTCCAGAGAGACACCGTTGCTCTTGAGTACTTTAGAGAGGTCCCTAACAGCAGATTTTCCCATTGCAATATGTTTTTTGATTTCCTGGCTGCTTGTGCCAAGAGTGTTGTAAAAGTTGGTAGAAATCATCTATTTCTTCTTTGGCTCTGGTTGTTGGTGCATATAACTGAATATGTCCAGTGGTATTCACTGGACTTTCTTGTAAGTGTATGGATATTATCCTGTCACTCACGATGTTGTACTTCAAGATGGATCTAGAAATTACTTTTTTTTTAAACAAGGAGTTTATTTAAACAACAATACGCTTGACTTGAAGGGAAAACTATCTAGGATTCATTTCTTTTAGAGTAATTTAGACAGATTGCCCTAGATGTAACAGCTATGTACAAAAAAGTTATAAAATTGTCCTTGGTTTTACAATGATAAATGAAAAACATTAAAATTCTCCAATCAAACAAGGTATGTAAGGATTTTTTATGTCGTTTTTTGTTAAACAGTGAGAACAAAATAACTTATTGGAATATAAAGATAAGAGCTGAATGAGCATGCCACTTAGGGAGAAAGGGGTATATTCACAGAACCAGTAATTTTCCCCATCCCATCTCCACTAGATGTTGATCAAAACATACCATTGGCCATTTAGTTTATTAAAAAAAACCAAACAAAATAAACCTACAATATGCATGTGCACATGCACCAGTTACTTTATGTACAATAAAAGAATAGGGAGGGGGAAATGAAAAAAGAGAGAAAACTAGGCTGTAGCAGTCAGGATGAGCTGGAACCCAGTTGTGGTTTTCTAATTGAGAATGTATTCTTGGTCTGCAGGAACAGAGTTCTGGAGTAAAACAGCAGGCTCCTCTGTGCTTATTTTAGAAGACCCCTCCTGTCTGCTGCTGGAACACATGAATTGTATCTTCATCCTCCATTTCCAACTGTGCAGGTGTATCTGATTCATTGATTGGCTGTCCATCAAATCGGAATCTGATCTGCCTCATTGACAAAACCTGTCGTTCACAATAAGCTTTCATTAGTTTACTAAGTGGGGTATGCCTCTTAATCTTAAACTCCACCACAGAACCACCCTGCCCCACCACCTTCAAATTAATATGATCGTTGTTCTCAGTCTTGACTCCTTCCTTGGGTTTCTCGTCGGCCATGGCGAGCACCGGAGTCTCCTGAGCAACCGCTTCACAAAAGAGGTACCAGGTCCGCACCGAACGAGCGCACAGGCAGCACCAGGAGCAGCAGAAGAAGGAGGCGGCAGCGGTGGTAGAAATTACTTTTTTATTTATGAAAGCAACTCCATTTTTCCTCGCCTTTTCATCTCCAGAGTAATATATCATACGATCATCTGACTCAAAATGCCGCATGCCGGTCCATCTCATCTTTCCAATGCCTAGTATGTCAATATTTATGAGTTCCATTTCTTTCTTAACAATGTCTAATTTCCCTACATTCGTGGTTCTCACATTCCATGATCCAATCACTAGTGTCTGCTTACAACTGTTCCTCTTCCTTTGTATTTCCATATTTGAAAGTTCTACCTCATTGCCCTCTCTGTTAGTCTTCTGTTGTACAGAGGGTTTTCAGAGTCCTGCTATTTCATAAGTGGATGGCCAATCCTTCTTCCTAGTCTGTCTTAATGTGAATGAATGTTCAGATTTAGAGGAGTATCTGACAGACAAGCATTTTATAGAACAGTGAATGATAAAACCCCTCATTGTGGAGTTAATGAATGATAAATCCCTCATTGTGGAGTTAACCATTAGTTACAGTGTTGTCCCTGGCCTTGGCCCTTCACTTCTACCAAATGCTGAAGGGATTCCCATTACAATACATCTTTTAATTTCCTGGCTTCTGGTGCCAAGGGTGTTGACTGTGGATCCAAGCAAACAGGATATTGTAGAAGATTTTTGCATCTATGTTCATGAGAGATATTGTTCTGTAGTTTTCTTTCTTGTTAATATCTTTGCCTGGTTTTGCTTACTTCACAGAATGACTCTGGAAGTGTTTCTTTTTCAATTTTTTGCAATAATTTAAGTAGAATGGGTGCTAAATCCTCTCTGAATGTTTGGTAGAATTCAGCTGTGAAGCTGGTCCAGGACTTTTCTTATGAGGAAGTCTTTTTACGACTTTTTCAATTTCTTCTTTTGTGATGGTTCTATTCAAATGTTCTCTATCTGTCCTTGTCAATCTGGGCAGGGATGGGCTTCAAGGAATTTGTCCATTTCCTCTAGGTTTTTTAATTCATCAGAGTATACCTTTTTGTAGTATTCTGATATTATTTAATTTCCTTTGGTTCTGTGGTTCTCTGTGTCTCCCCCCACCCCGCCCCTTTTGTTAAATTTTCCAGTGGTTTGTCAATTTTATTGACCCTTTTGACAAAACAGCTACTGGTCCCTCCTTTCAACATGTCCAAAGTATGTCAGACAAAGCTTCAGAATCTTTGCCACCATGTGACAGCCTGGTTTAACACTCTCCAGGATGAACCGGTTTACTTTCTTAACAGTCCATGGTATATTAAATACTATTATCCAATACCACAGCTCAAAGGCATCAGTTTTCCTTCTATCTTCCCTAGTCATTCATTGTCCAACTCTCTGATGCATAGCAAGTGATTGCAAAGACCATGGCCTGTATCAGGTGCACCTTAGTCTCCAGAGTGACATCATTGCTCTCCAGTACTTTGGGGAGGTTCTTAACAGCTGACTTTCCCATCTCAATATGTCATTTAATTTCCTGGCTGTTGTTGTCAAGAGCATTGACTGTGGAGCCATGCAAACAAAAGTTGTTAACGATCTCAATCTCTTTATCATCATCCTTATGCAACCAACTGGCCCAGTGGTAAGAATGTTTGTCTTCTTGACGTTGAGCCTCAATCCATATTGAAGGCTGCAGTCCTTGACCCTCTGTAGCAAGAACTTTAGGTCCTCCCCAGTTTCAGCAAGCAGAGTTGTGTCATCTGCATAACAGATTGTTGATGAATCTTCCTCCAATCCAGATGCCACATTTCTCCTCATAGAGCCCAGCCTCTCTGAGATAACTTGTTCTGAATATAGGTTGAAAAGATATGGAGATAGGATACATCCCTGGTGTATATCCTTCCCAATTTTGAACCATGCAGTGTTTCCTTGCTCTGTTCTGACAACTGCCTCATGGTCCAAGTATAGGTTTCACATAAGCATGATCAAGTGCTCTGGGATTCCCACTCTTCTCAGAGTCAGCCACAATTTGTTGTGACCCACACACACAAACGCCTTTGCATAATCAATAAAACACAGATAGACTTTTCTGTGGTACTCCCTGCTTTCAGCCAAGATCCATCTAACATTAGTTAAAATATCCCTAGTACCACAACTCCTTCTAAACCCAGCCTGCACTCCTGGCAGTTCTCTGTTATTCTGCTGTGTCAGTCATTTTTGGATAATCTTTAGCAGAATCTTGCTTGCATGTGATATCAGTGATATTGTCTGATAATTTTTACATTCTGTTGAATCACCTTTTTTTAGAATGGGAGCAAAGACAGATGCTATCTAGTTAGTTGACCAAGTAGTTGTCCTCCAGATTTCTTGACACAACTTGGTAAGCACATCTAGGGCAGCATCCGTTAGTTGAAATTCATCAACTGGTATGCCATCAATTCCTAGGGCCTTAGTTTCTTGCCAATTCCTTCAAAGCAGCTTGAACTTCTTCCTTCATCACCAGAGGCCCTTCCTAATATGTTGTTTCATGAAATTCTTTTGTGTCTGCCAATCTCTTTCCGTTCAGTGACTCTGTATACTCTTTTCATCTTCTTTCAATACTTCCTGGATCATTTAATATTCTGCCCAAAGCATCCTTAAGTATAGCAACTTGAAGTTTGAATTTGTTTTTCAGTTCTTTGACCTTATTAAATGCTGAGCGAGTTCAGCCCTTTTGTTTTTCTGACTACAGCTTCTTGCACATTTCATTGTAATATTTTACTTTATCTTCCTGTGCTGCCTTTTGAAATCTTCTGTTCAGCTCTTTTATATCTTGAATTCTTCCCTCTGCTTTGACTTCTAGATGCACCTTCTGACAACCATTTTTGTCGTTTCTTCTTCCTCTGTCTTTGTGATGACCTTTTGCCCTCTTCCTGAATGATACATACTCTTGATATCCTCCCACAACTCATCTGATCTTTGCTCATTGTTGGTCAAGGCCTTAAACTTGTTCCTGAGATAGTTCTGAAATTCAGGTGGGATAGACTCAAGATCATATTTTGGTTCCTGTGGATGTGATTTAATTTTCCTTAGCTTCAGCTTGAACTTGCATATGAGTAGTTGATAGTCTGTTCCACAATCAGCACCTGGCCTAATTTTCACAGCTGATATTGAACTTCTCCAGCAGTTCTTTCCACAGATGTAATCAATCTGATGCCTATACACACCATCAGATGAAAGCCATGTGTATAACCTGCATTTAAGTTTCTTATAAAATGTATTTTCAATGAACAAGTCATTGATTGTGCAAAGTTCAATCATTCTATCTCCAGCTTCATTTCTGTCACCAAGTCCATGTTTTCCAACTACTGTTTCTTCTTTGTTCCCAACTTTTGCGTTCCAGTCACCCAGTATCATTAATGCATCTTGATTGCATGTTTGATCTATCTCTGGCTGTAAAAGTTGGTAGAAATCTTCTATTTCCTCTTCTTTGGCTCTGGTTGTTTTAATCAGGGAGTTCCACAAAACCCTGTCTTATTTTAAAACACTTATCTCAGTTATTATCTCATATCTTAATTAATGCACCTACTTTCATCTTTGATGTGTTAAAATTGGTTTTTTTAATTGTTTTTATGCTACATCTTTTGAGTCTGACTTATTCATTTTAGAGAACTTATAAAAAAGTATATTAAAACAATCAGCTAATTTCCCTGAAATGTTGACTGCAGTGCAATTTATTTTCTGTACTTCAACTCAAAATATGCCACAAATAATTTCAAATTATGCAGACCTTCCTAGTGTATAGTGTGCATTTAAGTTGTAACTGATCTATTTATATATGGCCTCTATTTTGATGTTATTTTATCTTTTCTTTCCTGTAACCTTTTTACATCTCAAAAGATTTTTAAATGGTATAAATGACAGCACTAATGACAATTCATCTGAATTTTTCTTCCACTGTGTTTTAGCCAATTTTTCTTTCTTGTAAACTAGAGTTGAGGTGTAGTTTTCTCTAACAACTGACTCATATTCTAATTTTTCTTTTCTTGACTAATCAAACAATGCTGAAATTACTTTTTAGCTCATTAAATTCCTTATTTTCCATTTATTTTTCCTTTATAGGCACTGTTTGCCCAAAGTAATCTTAATTAATCCTCTTGGGTATTGTGCCTTTCAAATTAGAGAAATTTATATTTAACTTTTTTAAGAGTTCACGTTGCAATGTATTATGATCATAAAAGCACTTTGTGACTAAGCTCATCTTGTACTGATCCAAATTGGCAGCACCATGATGATAGAGAAGAGACTGAGATTGTTAACAATTACAGCTTGCTCGCCTCCACAATCAACATTTTGGTACTAACAGTCAGAAAATAAAAAGACTAATTACCTTAGGTTAATCTGTTGTTAGGGACCTTTTCAGGGTACTAAGAAACAATGATGTCAGTCTAAAGATGCATGATACAGGCCATGGGCAGGCTTCAGAGCTAATGTACATATGGTCGCTTTGAGTCACAGGCAACTCAATGGCCCATAACAACAACAGGGTTTAGTGATATCCAGGAACAACAGTATACTTGAGGACTGGTGGAAATGTTATTGATGAGTAAATACCAAGGAATCTAACTTAAAAGAACATGATTTTCCACTTCCTTCTTCTAGTTAGTGGACATTGATGGTTTAGGTGTAGAAGTCTTGTTTTCCATGCAGGAGATCAAGTTTGATCCCTTCCCAGTGCACCATATGTGTAGTAATTTTCTGTCTCAATAGGGACATATGTGTTGCTCTGATCCTGAACAAGTGTCAGCAGAGCTTTGAGTCTAAGACAAACCTGGAATAAAGTCCTGGTGATCAACTTCCAAAGACAACCAATGAAAGCCCTACAAAATACAAAGACCTGGTCCATAACTAATCCTGACAATGGCACAGGACCAATCGGTGCTTTGTTTTGTTGTGTGTGGGGACAAATGGTAGGC